CATAGCTGCCCATGGCTGCGATCTATCAAATAAAGTGGGTGTTGAAATTTCGACCGAAATTCACCTCCCAACCCTTACAGTATCCTTAAACCTTCAAGTCTTGTTATGTGCCACGTTAACGAGCAGCTTGATTTCCCCTCAGCATCTTGTGCTGCTGCTGGCGACGAGAGACGTGAGTGTGCTGCACAGTGTGCTGCGTGCTCTCATAAGCATAGCTGAAGACGCAGCGTGCGCCACCGCCCTGGCAAGCATCAACGTCACCGAATCCCTGCTCAAGATACTGCAAGCCTACGATTTATTCTCTAAGAGGTGCGAACGATATTGTGCGCAAGGTCCTAATCGGTGATGCCAGCCATGATTTCGCGTTGTAATTAATGTATCGGATATCGCTGAATTGTTTAACGTCACATAAATACAATCTAAGCTTTATTTTATAATCGATATCAAATTTATATATCGATATTTATTTAATTCCATTTTTTATATCAATATTAAATTTCAAGCCACATTACGGCATTTTTGGGATGTCGTGTGTGGCGGTGCTATCGACGCTTCTTGACGAATTCATAGTAATTCGGAAATACTCAGAGAAATTGATTTATTATCGATTAATCTGCTTACTGTTCATGTTTAGGCTTGCCTCTCAGCTTCTAAGGTTGATCAGCTGCCAGCCTGTGGGACGGGAGGACGTGAAACTGTATCGTGGCCTGCCCACTCTACTAAGGTAAACATTCCTAACAAACTAATCAATATAACTCTCTCATTAATGATCGTTATTGCGACATCTATACTGCGTAGTCGAAAATGTTGCTAACGATCGATCCGCGATTAATTGCGCCTACCCTGCGTCGCCTAGCGCCATCCTGTTGTCGTCACATTTTACCTAGAATGTCGTAGATAACCGATAGCTTACATCCGCCGCCGCGCATGTACATCGGACTCCTGACCGCAACTATCTTCCCATCACCCGTAGCTTGCTGCACAGCGGCGCGGTTTCCTTCTAACGTCAGTGGCAGACGTCTGACCTCGCGTCCCGCAACTACCTTCCAATCCATAGCTCGCGAGTGAGTCAATGAAGCACGTGTCGTCTTCCATTCGTCGTTCCCTTCTAACATGGTTAGCAGACTCCTGACTATCTCTCCTCCGTCCATAGCTTGCTGCACAGCGTGGAGCTGGTGTGGAACACCGTCTGCTACTACCGTCCCGTCCGTAGCTCACGAGTGAGTCATGACGCACGCAGTGATTCATGCTACAATCTTTCCTCCGTCCGTAGCTTGCTGCACAGCGGCAGCGTGGAGCTGGTGTGGAACACTGTCTGGACGCTGGTCAACCTCGTGCAGGACGCCGATCTCAGCAACGACATCCGCCTTCAGGGAGGCATCCCCATCTTCCTCTCTCTGCTGCAGGACGGCTTCCCGGGCGATGAGGACGTGCTGCCGTGTCTGACGGAGAGTCCCGGATCCTCCTCCGCCGTCGCCGCGGCGATGTCGTCCGTCACCACGAAGCAGGTGATCTTATGTTTCGGTCTTGCGTTGCGTGGGTTAAATTAGCGTGGGCAGTCTTGTTGTCTGCCTCCTTGCATGCTTCGCTGAATATCGTGCATGCAAGCGAATTGCTTTGCTCGTTCTACCCTTGCATGTATTTACGAGACATATTTTATATTATATGCAATTATAATATTACATATAATATATTATTAATTTAATTATATATAATAATAATAATAATTATAATTATTATTATTATAATTACTATTATGATGATGATTATTATTTATTATTACTATTGGGGTTAATATACTTTCCATAATATATATTTAACAAATTCTCGGTTTACTCTCAGTAAATTAAGAAACCTGCGCGTTACTTCGCGTGACTGAACCTTCCTCTCCTCCCCTGCCGCGCATTCTGCAGTCTGCGCTACAGGAACGCGCGAGACTTCTCCTCCGGGGACCACGCCGACCTGAAGAGGAAGGTCTTCCTCTCGCTGGTCGAGCGGAGACTCTGCTGCGGAGAGTGCGTGGGCGGACGCGCGCCGCCCTCCCTCCTGCGCGTCGTGAGGTGCGTCCGCCTGATGATGAGGGATGCAATCTACCTGAGCAGCTTCGCGGAGACGGGCGGAGCGGCGAGACTGCTGCCAGTGAGTTCTAGACGCTTCGTTTGCGCGCGTGAGCGTTCAGTAATGACGTGCTGATGTGAGAAATGCGATGAAAAGTGGAGACCACTCGCGTAGCGTTATTTATTTATTTTAGAAGAGAAGGATTGCAATTTCTTATAAACAACTTTTATATTCAGTTATAATATGGACGAATTTATCCTAAAATAAAAATCGTTTAGTTAAATAGCAGTTAGGTATAAATATAATTG